AAAATATTATTGAAACTGCACTAACATTGACTAGTACACGTATTGTGCTCTTGCGAGTATAATAATTTTTTGTTTCATTCACACCAAAGTATTTGGCGATTGTCTCACTATATCTACTAGTATCATATTGCCAGACATTTTTAATTGCCAGACGTGTTTAACAACCACAGAAACGTCTGGCAAATTAATTTTGTTTTTTTTTACCCTTAATAAACATAATATTAAAATAACAGACGGACTGAAATGATTTGAATTTTTAAAAAAAATTAATAATTAAGTTGGTGTCAAGCACATATTTAGCAGCGCCCAAAATGTCTGGCAACAAAAAATGTGAGTCTGGTGAACCTTTTCGAAATCAAAAAAAATAAAAATTGTACTTTCTAAAATGCTTTCCAAACTTTGAAATCGCGCTGTACAAGTTGGCTGCGCACTAATAAACGCAACCACTTCCAGCTGCCAGACGGCCCGTACTCTAAACGAGAGATCACCAGGGACCACATACCAAAAAACCTGGCTGCCTAAAATTCTTTCTCAAAAACGTTGTTAGCTCCTGAACCATAACGCATTGCAATTTTTTTATGTAAAACTTTTTACGTCAATTATTGTACTTTCCAAAACGATTTGACTTTTGATGCCTTTGTGAGGTCAGTATCTACATCAAAAATTATTCCTTCTGACTAATATATAGTTTGGTATGTATACTATCAAGCTGTTTTTAATAAAAAAATCTCAATATCATTTTTACTTTATTATTTCCAATGACTAATATGCCCATCACGTCCGCTATAAAATGTGGAAGTGACCTGTGAATCATTTTTTCAGTCGCCATCGGATGTAAAAGGCCAGTTTTTATTTTTGTTTCGATGTAGATATAGTACGGGCCTATGTCGCAACTTTCAAATACCAGTTGCATATAAACATTTCTATGATTTTGTAGATTGGTAGATTCGTTAACAGCTGTTATGTCCATCAATTCCGTATCGTCGTCCACATAGTTTTCCACTGTATTTTTTTATATTGTTTGAACAGCAATTAGAACTCTTATATGTTGTATAATCTGTTTGTTTGTTAAGGACATATGACTACTTATGTATTTCATGAGGGGCAAACCATCGATTTACCATTCTCTTAGGTGTGGGATATTTTTGATATTAGCTATTACGCCTAATCGTTAACATATGAATGGATGTTGCAGGTATATCCACGAAGGATGATTTCCACTTGGAATTATCTTGTGATCTATAACCCCTTACTATAAGACTATAAGCTGCCTTATGTCGGGCTACGGCGGTAGCGTGAGTCGAAGCAGCGAACCCGAGACTAGTTGCTGCTAGCCCACGCTCTAACCGATATCGCCACCGCTGGCCCAATTCTCCACTGTTATGATCTCATTATTGTGAAGGCTACAGTTTTTTTTTTTATTTAATATTTGATAGATAATAAGAATACATTGTTAACTTCCCGAAGAAGAAGTTTATGTTTTTATAAAAAAATCGATTCGCTAATTTTACGTTTTCTCAACGTTTCAAGCCATTTTGAATCGAATGAGACCAAATTTGAACTAGTGGTGTATGGCATCGTGACTTAAGGCAAATTGCTGGAACTTCCCGTACCTTAATAAAATATGAGAGAAATATTAAATGTTTTCAAATAGATTATTATAAATACTGTAATATTGTCTAACATTTATAAGAATTATATAAACTGAATTGCAAAGTTGAAATTATTTGTTTAAAGTATGTTAGAACTTTATTCAGAATTAAAATTAAAATTTGAATTATCTTCGATTTAAAAAAAATGTGAAAAAAATGTTTTTTTGAGAAAAGAAAATTGAAACAATTTTTTTCTCTCTCAACAACTTTATAGACTTTTAAACGTTTAAAAAGTGTTAAGAAAATTTTTTCGACGATTTTTATGATTTTTTTTGACGGTAGATACCATACTCTTATAGATCATTCTAAAATAATAAAGCCTTACGGCAAAAATTAATATCGTTTTTTTTGGCATATGTCAAAATTAAACCTTTGATCGACGTTTTCTCAAAAACGCCTGAACTGATTTCAAAAATTTAAAAGCCATTTGATGTTTCTCAATGAGCACTATCGTTTGTGCGACGATAACTAATAACTTTTTTGTTTTTACAATCATCTTCACTAATGATACACTATTTTTTTATTATTTATAAAATTCTTCATCACTCTCATTATCACATGGCTAAAGCTATTATTATACCTAGTTCGGCGCATGGAGATACATTAATATCGGGCGACCCGATACATGTCCGTCTTCGGATTCGGACTCCATAAACAATAAACTCTTAGACATTAAGGGAGAAAGTACCACCCAGTCAAGCGACCAATTTTCATAATAATTCATATATACAATCCAACTTACCGCATTCTCAAGTAATTCGTGAGGCACCTCAAACATAATCAAATCTGGAATATCAACCAAATACTTCCCTTCCACAAAATGATCATGTCAATACAAGTAGTATTGATCAAACATATAACCAACAGAACGATACACAAGTGCTCAAAAATATGATGAAAGTCTTAATCGAACAAATGGGCACAATGCTGAATGTATTTTCAAATGTTTTAGTAAAGAAATAAAACCTACTTATCACATTATAATGACATTAAAAATATGTATAATAGTTAGAAACAATAATGTAATTAAAGCTATACTCCAAATATGACATGATCGGTTTGCCATTGTAATAAGCATTTAGAAACGAACCTTCATTAGAGAAATGCAGTAATTGCTGATTTATAAATTCTATAATATAATATTTGTTTTCACAGTGGATTATATTAAACAACGCCTAAACAAATATTGTTTTCGCGACGTCACTCATCATGTAATTGTGTTTGAAGAACTTCCTGAAATTAAAATTCATTGACTGCTTTTATTTTTTTTACTTTATTTACTTTTTCGCTGGCGATATAATTTTGAACCATTCAAATCGGTTGATCATTGCGCCCAAAATCAAGGACGAAAAAATGCGGAGATACAAAACACACACACATCCATTTTTTCTGAGGTATGCCAAAATGTTCAAAAACCTTCAAAACGTCGAGAAATGCAAAAATTTTCATTTTAGATTTTCGGCCCATTACCATAACTACCCTGCAGAAAGTTAATAAAATAATACTTAACATACGTACATGGAACGCCAATGACTTAACTCAACATTGTCAAGAGTTTAAACATTTCTTGCTGCACAACAAAATAGATATCATCTTCTAATCTGATCTTTATACTGATTTTCTACAGGCTACAAATATTTCAATAAAATATTTCATGATCAACTTACAGGTTCAACAATATACTGCTCATCAAAACATAAAATTTCACAGGTGCTGTTTAATCAATTCTTCATAATCATAAGCCAAAGCAATATCCTTCATAGCCGGCGGGGACTTCGTTAAACTTAAAACCTATAGCGGCTAGAGAACCCACATACTGGCCTAGTGATATGCAGCGAATACCGGACATGCTAGATTTTTTTACTACGAAAAATTACTTAGAAGTATGTGCATGTCTTGATCTTACCTCAGATCACTGTCCAGTCTTTCTACATAATAATAATATTAATCAAAAACTCAAGAGTGCAAGTGCAATATTTCATTGAACAATAAACATGATATAGACTATGCTAAAGGCAATCTAACAAAATTAATATGCTTTGCAGCAGAAAATTCGACGCCAGAAGTTGATATTCAGTGTTTTACTGAATATACAATGGATATCAAAGCTGAATATCAATTTTATAATTGAACCAGTTTTCGAAACCGAAAACGGCTCGATAGATTTTCACCTAAAACTAATCAGTATCATTCCCAGCTAATATCTTTCGAACAGTTTTTGATTTTTTAAAATCGATTCGGTAGTATGAGCTTCAATGTGGACGAAAACACTTTTTTCTAAATTACAAAGGAACGGCTCGGTAGATCATCGCACAAAACTGACAAACGATTGTACTTATTGAGATACATCGAATGGCTTTTAAATTTCTGAATCGGTTCAGACGTTTTTGAGCAAACGTCAATGAAAGGTCTAATTTTGACAAATGCCAAAAAAACGATAGTATTTTTGAAAACTTTGACGAATCTTTAAAGCTAAACGAGTTATCGTAGGGCCGTAATATTTTAGTATGATCTAGAAGACTATGGTGTCCACCGTCAAAAAAAAAATAATAAAAATCGTCGATTTTTTAAAACTTTATTACAAGAAAACAACACGGCCAATCTTTACTAAAAACTAATCAGCACTATTCCTAACCAATATCATTCGAACGGTTTTTGAATTTTCAAAATCGATTAAAAATTGCGGGCTAAAACGTGGACGAAAAATTTTTCACTTTTCTGCGATTTATAAAGAAACGGCTCGGCCAATCGTCGCACAAAATCATAAACGCTATTCCTCATCAAAATACATCGAATGGCTTTTAAATTTTTGAAATTGGTCCAACCGTTTTTGAGAAAACGTCGATTTACGGCAAAAAAACATATACGCGCACACACATACATTATTCAAATTTGGTCTCATTCGATTCAGAATGACTTGAAACTTCGAGAAAACCTAAAATTAGCGAATTGGATTTTTTGATCAAAACATAAACTTCTCCTTCGGCAAGTAAACAATACGTTTTACTACTTCTGAAGCAAAACTGGAGTTAAAACATGCAAAAAAGTCAAGTCTCCAGGCTTTAATAAGATCACTAACCAAGTGATAAAGGAATTACCAAAAAAGTGTATAAGGTGCTTGACGAGAATCTTTAAAAATATTTGAGAAACTTCTTTTAAATTTTACTTCTATTCGTTAAAAAAACCTAATATGTCTAATATGTCTTAAGTCAATCTTTCGAAAACTTCTGTTCCTGATCTGATTTTTTGTTGTTTGAAATGAGGCTAATTAATGCGAAAAATCAGAAAAGCGACAAGATTCTTATATTTTTAACTAATATTAATGACTACAAAGTTTTGACTACTTACACATATTATATCCTTATTGGAATTGTATGGAGATTTGAAACAGTTAGATGTTAATGAAGCCTCCTTGAATTTAGAAAATCTCTTCAATCTGGGTTTAGCTTCATATAGTTCATTTTTATGCACTGGTAAATTGTCCTCTGAAATAATTTTATCGAATTAAAATTTTTATACAAATTTGTAAACATAAGATAAGCATATATAAGTAGTGGTGCAAGGCGTCGTGTATAAATCTTATGAAATTTTGACAGATATCTTTTGACATCCTACGGTCTTATAAAGTAATGCATTACATAATATAAACAGAAATAGAGGCCCCGATTAGAATAAAGATGTCAGAGGATACTTTCTCACATTTCAAAAATTCATATAAAATGATGCATATAAGAAATATATACATTTCTAATTTAAAATATAGTGTATCAAACAAAAGAATTACTAGTTGTAAGTGGTATTTTACCATCAAGGCAAGTTGCTTGAATTTTCTAAAAAATTAAATGATCGACTTATTTAATAAAAAATCAAACTATTAATTTATGAACGATTTACAACTCTAGTTGCTGTGGAGCAGCTATCGGAAAAGTTTTTCAATCAATACTCCAAAATATTTTGCCTAAGTTGACATTACCCCCATTACGCAAAGTAATTTTCCTTATACGGACAAGTACATAGCAAATACAGTAAATATCAATTAAAAATACATACTTTTTTACCCAAAAAATTCTATATTTACTCCATTTGAGGCAATTTACTACGGTGTCCCGACCACGATTGTAGAACGTCATAATGTAAGAAACTATTGCAGATTATTCAATTAGAACCGATGTTTTTACTCACATTATTCAAAAACTTGATTTTGAGTTATCTATTTAAAACCTGATAATCGGCTTAATCGATCGTATCAAAAAACTGAACAACCAAAACCGTTATAGAGCTACATGAAACGGCTTTTAAATTTTTGAAATCGGTTCAGCCGTTTTTGAGAAAACGTCGACAAAAAGTAAAAAAAAACGGTTTAGATACACACACGCATTCTTTTGGAATAATTATTGTTTTATAAATGAGTACTTTGTTCTCGAGAGAAAGGTCTGATTTTCTTCCTATAAGCCAATACAGCTCCTTGATTTTTATTTGAGTTTGATTTTTCTTGTATTCAATGTGGGTTTTCCAATTTAGTTTTGAGTCAATATGTAGTCCGAGGTATTTCACACTATTGGAGGAAGGAATTATTTTGTTACTTAAATAAAGAGTAGGATTGTTATGATGTTTTAAGGAAATAATGAGATATTGGGATTTATCGGTATTGATTGTAATATTCCATTTTGCGAACTATTCTTGAAGTGTTAGTAAGTATTTTTGGACCTGTAAATTGGCTAATACAATATCTTTATGTTTTGATATTAAAGCTATGTCATCAGCAAATGTCCTGATAGTTACTAACTCATCAGTAGGCATATCATGCGTATGCAGGAGGTATAATAATGGGCTTAGCACACTGCTCTGTGGTATATCGCATTCTATGTTTCTGATGGCAGAGGTCTCTCCTTTTATTTTTACACGAAATTTTCTGTTATGTAGGAATGATTTTAGAATTTTGAAGTAAGAAGGAAATGTTAAAAATATTTTGTATAAAAGTCCGGAATGCCACACCTTGTCGAACGCCTTGCTAACATCTAAAAATACAGACACACAGTGTTCCTTTTTATTTAAGGTTTCCAGGTTGTAAGACACGATCCTATTGCACTGTTGTGTAGTGGAGTGTTCTTTTCTAAAGCCGAACTGATGGTCCAGGATGTAGAAGTTTTTCCATTAGTTTGGAAAGAATTGGCAACAGACTGATTGGTCGATATGAAGAAGTGAAGTGAGGGTCCTTGTTGGATTTCGCTATCATAATAATTTCAATCCAAGCAGTAGGCCAATAATTAAATTGTAATATAGAATTATAGATATTAGTTAAAAATAAAACTGATTTCATGGGCAACTTTTTTAGCATTCTTGGTGTTATTTTATATAATCCTGGAGCAGACTTATTTTTTAAATTCTTAATTTCTTCCGAAACATCATTGGGTGAAAAGTGTCTTATTGAGGATGAATGGATATTTGATTGTAGTAGTTGTTCTATTTCTAAATTTGAAGTTATATTTTGAGCACTGAAAGTAATTCTCAGGTGATCAGCAAATGCTTTCGCTCTTTCTTTTGTACTCTTCACCCATTTAAAGCTGTTTTGGTGTGGTTTTTAGTTTTGAGTAAGATAATTTATTTGAGGTGGTTTACCCTTTCGTTTAATAGGTTGCCAAATTGAGTTGTCGAATCTATTAAGTTCCATAAGATAGGATTTGAATGAGAAATTTTTCCATTTCTTCATTTTTTTCCTCAAGATATTATTGAGGTGGTTGAAATAAGTCTTATCTGAAGGCTTATGCGACTGTTGCTAAGTGTGCCTCGCTTTTCTTTTTGCTATTAATAAATTTTTGATCTCAATAGGAATTGTTATTTTTTCTTTTGTTGCCTTAGGGGTCGGAGTAATTTGTTCTGTTGTTGTGCATAAGATTTCTGTAAAAAATTGTAGTTGAGTTTCCATATCGGTCGTGTTCTTTGGCCTTATATTTGGAAGTGTTCTAGAATTCAGATTTTTTTGTAATAGACAGAGAATTTATTATGTAAAAATTGAATGGAATGGACAGGAATTGATCTAAATGTTAATAGGATTGGGAAATGGTCTGACGATAAGTCATAGCTTGGTTCAATATTCATTTGAAATTTGGAAATGCCTTTAAAGATGAAAAAATCTAAAAGATCTGGGAATTTACTTGGATCTGAGGGCCAATATGTGGGACTGTCTGTTGATATGTAATATAAGCAGTTTTGTTCTGATTCTGTATAAAGTTCTTTAGCAGTAGTTAAACGTGAACCCCATGCAGAATGTTTACAATTGAAATCCCCTCCAATAATAAATTTAGATCCAAATTGAGAAAAAAATGATGTATACTCTGAAGATGAAATTTTGAATTTTGGTGGACAGTATATTGCAGATACATGAAGATCATAAAAATTGGTTACAATTGCAATTTGCGTTGCTTGAATAAATTTTTCTTCAATATTTGGAAGAGCATAGTGATTTAAGTTATTTTTTACTAGAATCGCCGAGCCTCCTCGAGCTCTTCCACTTGGGTGATTAGTACTATAAGTTGTATTTTCGGAAATTTTGAAAAATGTTTTATCTATAAAGTGTGATTCAAAAATTAAAATAATATCTACATGGTTTAATTTTAGAAAACATTCTAATTCGTTTTTATGTGGTATTAAGCCGTTGGCATTCCATTGTGCTATTTTAATTTTCTTTGCCATTGTTCAAGTTATTAATGAGTGAAGTTGATTAAATAGGGATTTGAATTCTTGAAGGAATGAACAAAGTGATAAAGGTTCTGAGTCCGTAATAGGATTATTGAAATTTGTAAAATAATTTCTTGTTATGTTCGTTATGAAGTGTTGTTTTGTATCTCGTATTTTTGGTTGACTTACTATTGAGGAAATAATATCTTTGGTCATTTATTTTTTGTAGTAGTCGCAACCACGATAATTAGCAGTGTGGGCCCCTCCGCAGAGGCAGCAGGACGCTGGAGAATTAGAATCTTTGTTGCAGATTATAGTATTGTAGTCATCTCCGCACTTTAAACAGGCATATGGTCTGTTGCAATATCGCTGGGTATGATTATATAATTGGCAGCGTGTGCACTGTATGATATTATTATTTTTTTTCGGAGGCTTAATTCGGATTATGTTGTTTGATATTTTATAAATGTCATAGATTTTTTTGTTATTGTTTGCTGGCTCGAGGTCGACGAAGAACATATTCAAAAATTGTTTTGATATTATATGACTGATGTTTGTTACGTTCCGAACTATGTGGCCTTGCTTTGCTAATTCGATAGTGTCGATGTATGTAGTGAAGTGTAGGTTTCTTATTACAATTCTATAGGCTTTTTCTTCTTTCAATTGATACGTATGGAAGACAACATTTGCAATTTTTGAATAATTAGATAAGTTTCGAAATTGATCAATTGTGCTGCAAAAAAGTTTGAAGTTATTATTTGCCAGACTTCTTAGAAAATATTGTTCGGGTGGAATGATCTTGTTGATTGCTTCTTTCATGTCGTTTATTTTATCGACGCCATACACAAAAGTAGGTGGAAGTTTACTTACAATCGGTTGAACTGGACTGTCATTGTCCATATTGATAGATGATAAAGCCGTGAATCGATTTTGAGTTATGGTAATTGAATTTAATGGTTTCGATGTTATTTTACGTCTTTTAATGCTCATTACCTGTCAAAAAACGCCGCTTGTGTTCATTTTTGCTGCATTATTTTGTTGAGAATAATTATTGCTAGATGTACTTGCAGTTTGTAATGCGCTGGTGCTGGGAATTGGGCTACTTGGAGTATTAATTGTTTCATTTTCTTCTCAAGTATCCATGTTGTTGTTATCAAATGTTTGTACCTTTAGACCGATGGTCTCTCGATCCCCGCCGACGGCGGACATTTCACTGAAACTTATACCTGATAAAAGGTTTTATTTACAATTTTTCACAAAATTACTTCAGATAAATATTGATTTAATTCACTTTAAATATCGAATATTTGGCTTTGCTCCGATGTTAACGGTACCGTGTCCGAAGACTGAATGATTTACAAGAATATAAAAAGATTAAGAGAAAATGATCTTTCATGTAAAAAAAGTGTCTTAAACTTTGACTTATAGTATTTCAAATTTTGATAATTTTTAAGAATTAAACGACACGTTGTAGGGCCGCAAAATCTTAGAATGTATAGTACATTTTTTTCAACATTTTATTGCGAAGAAACGGTCTGGTACATTTTTACCGAAAACTAAACTGCGCGATTCCAAAGCAATATCTTTCGAACAGTTTATGAATTGTCAAACTCGGTACAGAATTGCAGAAACGCAAAAATTTTCACATTTCTGCTAATTACGAAGAACGATTTGGTGAAAAATCAACGCTAGTCTTTGTCAAGATGTTTCCAAATGTGGTCTCATCACCTGAGAATAACTTGAGAAAACATAAAATTAGAAAATCTTCCACACCCACAGGACGCTTGTAACAGTCATACGTTATGAT